AAGATGCACATGGACTTCATGACTGTGCACTCACAGTCCCCCCAGAAACACACAGGACACCCGCGAACATTCATAGTAGGTGCAATTTGGCGACACCACAAATCTCCGAGAGTAATGGAATGGACAGATCAAGACATTTTTGTTCAGCGGAATGAACAATAATGAGGATGAAGGAACGAGCATGCACATGGATAAATCTGTGGTGGGGAAACAAGATAAGACAGATAAAGTGGTTGGGAAACAAAACTAAACACTATACAAGTCCATGTATTTACAAAACAAGTTCAACAAAAGCTAAGGTATAATGCTTTAGGATCATGGTCATCCTTGAGGTCTGGGGGTGATTGTGACCCAGAGGGAGCATATCTGGGGGACTTCTATGTCTTCATCTGGGTGCTGGTTCACTAGCAGATTTACAGAGCCAGTTTCAGGAGACATACTGAAGTAAAACTGTGATGCTACAATTCTGGTGACATGGTTTCTGGCAGTAGGTTTTCATAATGGATATTCTTTAGTAACTTTTCATAATTCATGTCATCATAGCCACAGATCACCTCTTCCAGATTAAAACTGGGCTCACATTGTTTGGGAGTTCTGAGAGAGTGGTGAAGCAGAGGTAAGGTGCTTCAACTTATCTGACCCAGATACAGCCCACTACCAAGTTATCTGTAGGGTAAAACCATTCTTTATAAAAAATAGCAAACTATTTTTTAAAACTACTTTTTTTATAGGGCTGGGGATTTTAGCTCAGTGGTTCTGCCACCTGACTCGCAAGCACAAGGTCCTGAATTCAATCCTCGGTACAAAAAAAAACAAACTATCTTTTTATCATTACAGTGTACCCACAGTGCTAATTAATGTCATTGATTAAAATATTCCTCAAATCCTTTGTTGTCAAAGTCCTAAATAATTGAAGTTCAGGAGCTTAGTCCCGGTAAGCTGGCTACAAGACAGGCATGGTAGAAGAGTGTAGTGGAGCTAAGCTGCTTAATTTTTGGCAGCCAGGGAGCAGAGCAGTGGAACAGCACCTGAGAGGCAAGAGCCACACATCCCTGACCCACCCACACACACCCAAAAATACATCACAACAATCTCCTGGTAGCTACCAAGCGGTATGGTTGATACAATCAAGTTTCCGTTTGGATCCAGTATTACTTATCCTTTAGTGATCCACATGGATACAAAGTAGAATCCATTTCCAGAGGAAGGTCTTGGTGGTTTGGAATCCTTCCAACAGGCTTCAGGTGCAGTTAGTCAACAGCCCCCATTGCGCTACGTCTTCCACTCCTTAAAACAGATGTGTGTGAGAGCAATCACATCACCCAGTGATGGGGAAGATAAAGAACTTGGTTACTTCAGTTCTCATTCTGTTTCTCCTTTTGTAGTCTGTGTTTGCAGTTTTAAACAGCTGAAACAGAGTGCCGATTACTAATAGAAATAATGATCCACTTTAGTTGTCAAATTTGCCACTGCTACCAGACAGCTACTTTGACTTCTGCAGACAAACTCATAAGGATGGAAATGTGACAGTTATGAAATCTTTAGCAGCTCAGGACTGTGCTGAATACCAGCCTAAACTTGGTTAATGATTAATGGTCTGAAATTGTGTGTTCAGTTTATTTTGTGTATTTTAAGTAACTGGAGGCTGACACTTTCTCTTTATAGAACTACGGATTGAACGCAGTGCTTTTGTACTGAGGTTTCATCCCTGTTTTTTATTTATTTTAAGACAGGGTCTCACTATGTCACAGACTTGCCTCAGCCTTCCAGAGAGCTGGGATTAAAGTGTGTGCCCCCATGCAGGCTGAGATTGATACTTTTTAATAATGACTTCACTCTTTACTTTCCTGCCTCCTCGCTCCCATCATTTACTTCCTGTGTTTCCTCCCATATGTCCCTTCTTACACCACAAACACCAAATTGCTTGGGTCCTTGACCAGTCTTTCAAAACAATTTGATATTTTTTAAAGTTTGTTTAAATTACAATATTAACACACAAAGTCTTCATAACACTATTACTCCTTTTCAAAGCTACAAGTTTCTTAAAGTTGAAGTTTTTTTAGAAATAACTGATAGCCACCTTTCCTGCTCAACATAAATTTGTTATTACTGCATTGTTGGAAAACATCCTAAATACTAACCAGGAGAACATAATTTATGGTGGAGCTGTTTGTATTTTTTAAATGACTGTCCAGATGTCAGTATTATTCAAGTTTTAAGATGGATTATTATAAAGCAAGATTTAGAAAAGTGAATATAGTTGTGCTGTTTGTGCAAAAAATATATACTCTTGAATATCTACTAAGTATCTCTCAGAGGACCTAGAGAGATGGAGAGCGCCGGTTACTTCTGATGAGGTGGACAATTTCATAGGTAGAAGGGAAGTTTTACACCCGTTTTACAAATTTCTGTCCCCTTTACTTAGCATATACACTGAAACTTAGTTTTTAAAAAATGCTGAGATCATTTGACAAACTTTATAGTAGAAAGAGCATGTAAGTCCCAGCTGATAAAAAGAACATCGCTGATAATCCCACCACCACAGATTCTTAACACTTGTAGGGCCATATGGCCCAGGAGGTGATCAGAACGGGGCCCTGGTGGTTCCTGCAGCTCCCGTGGGTGCAGCCTGCTGCCAAATCTGTGCTCCCAGCTCCCCGGTGTCTGGATGTCAGGGTGCTTTTCTCTCTGGCCGCTACAGTGCAGCTTGGGAAGCCAGGCGCCGATTGCAGCCAGGGAAAGGCCTTGTTTCCCACTTTGCTACTCTTCTGTAGAGCAAAAGGTTAAACCTTTGAAAGTGAGAGGAATGTACCTGTGGATGCCATTATTTATTTATGACTGATGCCCCGTGCGGTTCCAAAGAGCAAAATATGAGACCACTTACTACATTTATGAATGGTGTAAAACCAGACAAGAGCAAGGAGCAGCAGATTGGAAACCAGTGAAAGGAGCGTCGCACTAGTTGTTAGAGACTGTTAGAAGCATCTGGGACCAGGAATTACTGTAGTCAAACAGTAAATTGAGCTTGGGATTTCTTGGCGCATGAGGTGAACAGGGGAATGTATGGAGTACATGGTTCTCTCTTTTAAGGCAGAAAACGTGAAGTTTTGCCAAAGGGGGTGGACATGTTCCTGTATTCAATGCAAAAAAAGAAATTCAAATGCAAGTCTTTATTTAAAAATATATAGGATTAAAAAATAAAAATATTCGGGATGATTCGTATCTTCATGGTAGTTAGTACCTGACGAGGTATTGAAGTTAGCTAGTCCAACTGTGCTGACTCTCACAAAATAGAAAGTCCCATTTGAGTATCAAATCCACCTACCTGTCTCAAGAGCCATTATTCTATTCCACATATCATCCTCTTGCATTTGGATGGTGGTACTGGCTTGCATTTCTGTGTCCACACATTCACATTCTTTCTCTCTTCCCAGTCTTCTCCAAATTACGGTTAGAGATGGCTCTCGGATCTGATCACATTAGCAGTCACTGCTGCTATCCTGTATGCTGGGAACTCCTCGTTCCCTTTGGTCTCAGAATGGAAGACCTGACCCTCCTTTCTCCCAGCTCCTGTGCCATGCGCTCTCCTTCACTGTCTCCATCCCACCTACCCTTTTGCAGTCCTGCTTTGCGGGGCTGGTTTCTCTTTTAGGAAATGCTATTCTTGCCTAACCACATCCTCTTTCTTTGGATCCAAGCTGCAGAGCATCCGAGAGTTCCTCCCCACTGTTTGTTCCTGTCCCCCTGTGCCTCTCTTGGTGCGGCTGCCCCTCACCCTGTTGCCTGCCTTATTAAATCATTAGCCCCAGGACAGCAGGCACTGGCCCAGTCTTTGCTCACTCTTCTCCGCAGCTCTCCACACGGTGCCTGGTATGTGGGAGGGAATGAGTAGGTAGTTAGTGACAGGCTGCCACTGTGATGCTAAGATGGGGTTCCACAGACAGAAGAACAGAAATCTATTCCTCACATTTCTGGGGTCTGGAAGGCCAAGTTCGAGGAGCCAGCATCTGATGAAGCCTCACTGCAGTCTCACAATGTGGAAGGCAGAAGGGTAAGAGAGAGGCCGCTTGTTCCTGGGAGCCATTGTTAGTTAGCTTGTGAGAGCAGAATCCTACATACTTCTCAAGAGGCTCCGTCACCCAACGCTGTTGCTTAGGGGATTGAGTTTCCAACACACAAATTTGGGGGACATGTTCAGATCATAGCGGTGACCCTAATACTGCAGCGGCCCCATCTCCAACAGACCTCGTCCTCTGCAGAGACCATACACAATCCGCACCCTTACTTATTCTCACCGCCATTCTGGGTTCTTCCCACCATTCCCTCAGCCCTTCTCTGCATGTCGCCATCTTAACCATCCCTTGATTGTGCCCTTGTTGGAAGCATTGCCTTCCATTGTTTGCATTCTGGCGTGTGTGATGCAGTATTTACCATCTACCCATCTGGTAGTTATTTTATGTACCTATGTCCCAACATTAAGTTGTAGCCAAGTCCTGTTGAGGATCTAGCATCAGGTACTTGAGAAAAGTGTGTGGAATGTGTGGCACTTATTTAGTGTGTCTTTGTGAGACATTTTTCCCACTCCATATGATGGGATTTCTAGTAAAGTTTCTGTTTGACTTACATAACACATGGCTAGTTGGCTGGGAAGTCTCATAGTCTTGTTCTTTTTCAGGCTCTAAAAGTTAGTGAATGTGAATTCACATCCTGCTCTCTGCATGCATCCCTCTCAGAGACCTGTGGATATTTTGTTGCAAGAAACAATGTTTTTCTGTCACTGAATGTAAGAAAGTAAAACAGAATAGATACAAGGAGCAGGTGATTTCCAGAAAGGACTTTCCAGGTCAGCACCCTCTATGGAAAGTGACCGCTGGACACTTGTTTCTAGAGGGGCATCTCTGAGCCACCTCCCAAGCCCCTGGGCACCTTTCCCTGGTACTACTGCTTGTCACTATGACACCTGAATGAGAAAATAACCCACCCCATTTCCTTTCCAACAGGCTGACCTAAACTGCAATATTCAAGATGATGCTGGGGCTTTTTATGGTGTAACCAGTCAATATGAGAGTTCTGAAAATATGACGGTCACCTGTTCCACCAAAGTGTGCTCCTTTGGGAAGCAAGTAGTAGAAAAAGTAGAGGTAAGTTGGTCTCTGCAGATCAGAAACTTAATTCCAGAGCAGCAGCTGCCTTTCCTTCAAGTTCATAGAAGCAGAGAGTTGCACTTTTTGATTTCTCCTTTCCCTACCCTTTCCTCAGTCTTTCCTCTGTTACTTCTGTAAGGCAGAATGATTCGGAAGCACTTGAAAGCCGGTAGGAAGCCCCCTCTGTGTCCAGAGTTGGCACCATCCAGCTACCTGGTCACCTTGCTGTGAAGCTTCCTGGGGCCTCTGGGAGGGAAGTGGGTCAAGATGGGCCTTGGCACTGACCCGCAGGTCCAGGCACACCTAGGCACTGTGGAGAACTCTCAGTGTGGTCCGCAGCTGATTGGCAGCTGCCTTCTAAAACGCTAGCATCTTGAGTTTGATATTGTTGCTTTTTGCCATTTCCATTCTCTTCCTTTTAATTGTTTTAAATGCATTTAATTCTATATTACAGCTTTTACCTTTCTGTCTCTCTCCTATTAAAGAATTACATGATTGTATTATCAGGATTTATTTGGTTGATTGATGATTGATTGCAGTAGTAGAGACTGAACCCAAGACCCTTGCATTGAGTTACATTCCCAGCCTTTTTTAATTTTAAGACAGAGTCTCCCTAAGTTGCCTGTTGTGGGCTCAAACTTGTGATCCTCCTGCCTCTGCCTCCCATAGTGTTGGGATTTCCTGTTGTTGTTCCCTTTAAAGTTGTGCTTTCCATGATATCTGCCTCCCAAGTGCAAGGTCCTGAATTCAGTACCCATTACCATCCCCCCAGAAAAGTTGTCCTTTCCAGTGTCTTCTACCTGCCCCCCAGTCAGTCCTTGTTAATGCGTGCTCTTAGTTTGCAGTAGGTCCAGACCTCTTAGGACTAGGAGTCTAGTCTGACAGTGGCAGAGGCTTTTCACTGCACTGTGAGAGAGGATGCCTTGTGGGGAAGGTGTTTGTTAAGGCCTGGCTCTCTCGTCTTGCTGAACTCAGGGTGGGTGGGGATTGGGTCAGTAAAGCCAAAGTTCCAAGTGAGTAGATTTGATTGTCACTTAAGTGTAGGTATCAGGAGCTAGCCTCAGTAAGAATTGTGAATGGAATTTAGAGACTGACTGGAAATTAAAGGGGAGAGTTAAATGAAAAATGAGAAACAGTAATTTAAAAACCTGACCCACACACTGGAAGAAACGGTGATGGTAGGTCTCCTTGTGTGGCTATGATGTTAGCGATGGTTTTTGGCAGTTTGCCATTTAGTATTGTACTTACTGTTGCCTTTTATATTAAACTGCTTTCTTTTCTGTTTTACCTGGGATTTTTCTTAGGAATAGCTAAGTTATTTTTGCAGTGACCTTTCGGCAGTTCTTGCCACATGATTTTTCTCCAGGTTTTCACATAGGCTGAGTCAGTATAGCTTGTGAATTTGAACCCCGCAGTGCTCTGAAGAAAACCTCACTTCAGATACATTGCTGCCTCTGCTTGCCGATATTTCATGTAAGATTTTTACATCTTCTAAGAGGTAGATATTAGGCTATACTTTTTTTTTATAATCTCTTTATCAAATTTCAATATTGAATGTGCATTTACTTCATAAAAAGAATTGAGATGTTATCTTTTGGGAGGCCTATCATAGTTGAAATTGTTAATAACTTCTTTTAAAAGTTACATAAAGCTTTCCTGTGAAACAATTTGATCTTCGTGCCTTTTTTAGCATGTTATTAATTAATTAATTTTAATGAACAAATTAATTTCGTCACGTACATTGTAATATTTTGAAATATCGCATACATTGTGGAGTGGCGGAATTGAGCTAATTCCCATATGTAGTCCCTTTTTTGTGGTGACAACCCTTAAAGTCTTGCTTGGCATTTTTCAAGAACCAAACACCTTGGTGTTAGCGTAGTCACCAATGTAAATCAGATCGCTTGAGCTCACCCTGCCTGACTGTAACATCGTGTCCTTCGACACCTCCATCTCCTTTCCAGGGGTCGATCGCTAAACAGGTACCTAATCCTTGTCCTTTCCACAGGTAGTGTTCTCGGCATCCTCTGCTTTTTTAGGGTTCAGTGTTTGCAGTGTGTGTTTTCTCTCTGTTGCTTTGTTCCCCTAAAGTTATGTGTCATACCTTCTTCTAATCTCTACTGTAATTGCTGTTTTGCTACTTTTCTTTCTTTTCTCCTTTTTTTAAGTGTGTAAGAGTTTATTTTGTCTCTTTAAAGAACCAGTTTTTTTTTAATTTTTTTTCAGCTTTAATTGAGTTTATTGGTACATTTTAGGTACAGTACAGTTTTTTTCTTTAAAGAACCAGTTTTTTTTTAATTTTTTTTCAGCTTTAATTGAGTTTATTGGTACATTTTAGGGATACAGTACAGTTATATTCATTGTTGGGATCTTGTACCTCCACATGACAAGTCTTGATTCTCATTTTTTCCCCTTACCCTTGCCCTCCCTTCACCCCCTCCTCCCCTCCCCATCTGCAAACACTTTATTTCCATCTTTTCATTATCTCATTTTTTTCTTTTCCCTTATTACCCTTCCCCTACCCATCCCACCTTCCCTACACCTTTAGCTCCTTTCTTCCCATTTCTAAATGTCAGTAATCTTATTAGGATCTTATGTATTATTGCAGATTATTCACATCAGAGAAACTATTCAGTATTTACACATGTGTGACTTATTAAAGAACCAGTTTTAAAATGCATTCTGTCCACATTTTAAATTTGTTTCATTGATTTGAGCTTTTATCATTATTAATTTCTCATTCCTGGTTTTCTTTTATTTCTTTGTGATTTGGTTTTCTTTTGTGGGTCTTTTAAAAAATTGTTTAATGTGTACCTATTCTGCAGTTTTTCATTATTAATGATGAAATATGAGACTGCTTCACTAAGTTTCATCAAATAAAATTTTATTTTGTCCCATAATTTTAGATGTATTTTCCTTCTCACTGCTCTTTATGGAGCTTATAAAGTCCTTTTCTTTTTTTTTTTTTTGGTCATTTTAATTATCTGGAAGTATTTCTTGGATTTAAGAACTTTCTTGGAGTCTCCAAACTGTGTGTAGATTAGTCCTTCCCTCTTTCCTTCCTTACTTCCTCTCCCTATCCAGGGCCTCAAAATCAGTTCAAAGTAACCGGTTTTTCCTGCGTTTGAGAAATGAGTTGTACTATTGTTAGTTTGGGAGGGCTTATCACAGAGAAGGGTTTCTTTAGTTTCTTTGAACAGTTCTAACTTTCTGGGCCTTATTCTCACAGATCTCCTTCAGGTAGACAATTACTAAGCAGGATGCTACAAGTTTTGTTTTGTTTTTTATGTACCAGTTTCCCACAAGGCATATAAACATTAGGTACCACAAATGTACTGATAAAAAAAATAATGAAAATATTCATTAGCTACCATCTTTTTACCTTTTTTTTTTAATTCCAGAAAAATAGTGGATTGTATATATGGCATAATTTGCAGTTAAGTTTTTTGTTTTTTGTTTTAACTAAGTAACAAACATTGTATAGGCTAGGAAGGGTAGCAGCAAGTCACATCAACACTGACAAGTTTTAGCTTGACAAAACCTAGACAAAATTTTTGCATCAAAATGTATTAGGAGCCAAGTATTTAGCTCAGTGGCACAGCGTCTGCCTGGTAAGCGCCAGGCCCTGAGTTCGATCCCTGGTACCCCCCGCCCAAAAAAAAAGGTGTGAAGTACGAAATTCAAGGAGTTTCAAAGCAGTCAAGTACCAAGGTATGGCTGCAATGGCTGTTCCTGGCATTTTGAAGTCACAAGTGTGAACATGTTCAAATCCTTTTGTCCTCCTAGACGGAGTATGCAAGGTTCGAGAATGGCCGATTTGTATACCGAATAAACCGCTCCCCAATGTGTGAATATATGATCAACTTCATCCACAAGCTCAAACACTTACCAGAGAAATATATGATGAACAGTGTTTTGGAAAACTTCACAATTTTATTGGTAACGGTTTTGTCTCTTTCCTATCTTGGCAGACTCCTGTTGACTGTGAGGAAAGTAGGCTGGGGAGGCATTGAGACTCTGGCCAAGGGAACATGACTGTCACCTGGGCCCTCCATGGTCACTAACAGTTGATTCACAGCCTCTATAAGCACTTGGGCCACATTTGGTCTGGAATCCATAGAAGGGAAGGGGTCTCACCTGGCTGGGATTACTGAGCTGGCAGAATGGGAATTTGGGTGGGTGACAAAAGTGGTGGCCCTGGATTATCAACTCTGGGTTGCACATTGAAAAGACCTGGGGACCTTATAAACATCAGGCTGTGTCCTAGGTGAATTATGTCAGGATCTCTGAGGGTAGGACTCAGGCATGTGCATTTTAAGTTCCCCTACAAAATTCTAGTGTTAGTCACATTTGTCTCATCAGCTATGTGGAATAGATACCATAAGTAAAACAAAGGCTGATTGATAGGGTCGTACTTCAAACATACCTTGACTCATTTCATGAAGGATTTCCAAGACCTTGAAAGAAGGAATGTTCCCTAAAATAGAAAGTAGAGGCATATAAGCATATATATTGAAATATAAATTAGAATGGAGTGCAGTGACTAGGAACTGAAAGAAAATGTCCTTTGTAGACTGAAAAATATGGCCCAAACTTAATAGGTAGCTGGAGGGAATGGGAGAGACAGCAAGTACTCAAGGTCCCTGAAGGGAAGCCCCAGTGACCCGTGAACAGTGGGGTGTGTATATGTGGTGTTTCCTCCGATATTTAACTTTGAAACATGTTTCTCTTGGGGACTTCACTTGAGAACTTCAAAAAGTTATTAAGAAGGATGTTGTTCTCAAAATATACTTATAAAAATGCAGTAATGAGTTTCACAAGGCTTGTTTTTAAAAAATAACATTACTTGATTAAACTGAAGGGAAAATGTCACCCCAAAAAAAGAACCTCAAACTTTGTGGAAACAGTTTTGCTACAAAGGCCGTATTGTGGTCAGATACTCAGCCCCGTGAAGGCCTGCTTTATTACTCTTTTTCATGAGGATTGAGAACTAGAAGACTTACAATAGGAATTCTTTACCTGTTGTTTTGGTTCCATTAGGGCAGTGGCTCTCAATCAGTAATACATTGGTTTTTAAAAAACCACCTTTCCCAAGCTCCCCACCCCATTCCAGAAACCTGTTTTATACCTTTACATTTTTCCTGTTACCATGGTATAAATACCCCCCACCCTAGGCAATTTCAAACTCGGGTTGTCCAACTCACAAAGTAACTTAATATTTAACAAGAACTTACATGAGTCAATAGAAGCTTGCTCCCCTATGCCACTGTTAAATAGATCAGATTTAAAAATTAAAATCTTTTGTATGTTAGATCCTTCCAGAAGGCTTTTTAAAAATCTGAGGTCAAGGTACCACTCCAGATAAATACAATCAGAATCCAGAACTGGGGCCCTGCATCATGTTTTTTTTTGTTTCTGAAGCTGTTCAGATAGTGGTAGTGTGGAGCCAGGACTGAACCACAATGACAGGCGACTAGCAGAGGAGCCTTGGGGAGTCCCAGAGCTCACAGATACATGATTGGCCTGCACTTGGCCAACATAGGCTTAGCATAGGTGTTTTGTGTATTCTAGGGAGAGAATGTCAGTAGATTCTCAAATGAGCCCTTTGCTTCTAAAATTTAGAGACCAGCAATCTGGGGGAAGTTTTAGAATACCTGTTCTTTCAGTGCTGTTTATTAGTATTCTCATCTCTAATGGTCTTTTGGTGAAAGCAGAGCAGTCCACAGCGTGGGTGCTGGCAGGGACCAGGGAGACTGGTCACAGAGGTGCTTTCTGCTGCTACTTAGAAATGAGGCAGCAGCACTGTAGCACTCTGGCAAGCAGTTGGAAGTGGACATCCTCCTGTGGCCTTTAAATAGTAGAACCAGAACTCTCTAAGTGCACAGCTAGCTTCCTCCTTCCCGATGATACCTCAGTCCCTGACACGTGACCTCGAGATCTCAGCTGGAATAAATATGACCAGAAAACGACACAGCACCTGTTTCCCACAAAGACCAGGTAACTGTCAGGAAGAGCACGCATGACTTCAGCTGGCCTACCTGTTCAGGGATCTCCTGGGGTTAGATTAACTTCGAAATGAGTCATTGAGCAGTTAAATACATCTCTGTGATGTGTGGGGTGCAGAGGTGTCAGTAAATACCCACTAGAAAAGATGTAGTCTTAGAAATTCAGAAATTAAGCCAGCACTCCTGGATTATGAAAATAAAATCATCTGAGCATCCTAGTGATGACAGAACAGAATAGAACAGAGATAGCAGTTGAGCCAAGTTGGCCAAGTATTTCTACTGTATTCTCACTCAATAGTTCAGGCTGGCTTTGAACTTACTATGTGCCAGGCTGGCCTCACTGAAGGTGATCATCCTGTCGTAGCCTCCTGAGTGCTGGGACTGCAGGTGTACACTATCATGCCTGCCTCTGTTGTCTTTTGAGGTAACGTTCAGACATACAGGCTGATTGAAACATTTTTTGTTTTCATTTCTCCTTTGAAATCTCAATCATGAAGACAAATCTAGAAATATTATTTTCTAGGTAGTTTGTGAGAAGACGAAAGTTTCAGGCACTGTGCCCTAAAGGCTTTATAAATGTTGTTTTCTGAAATTCTCACTGCAGAACTATGGGATCATTTCTATGAGTATAGTGTTAGAGCTACCCAAGGCCATAGAGCCAATGACAGGTACAGATTAAGACTTGAATTGACAGAAAAGACACTTTGCAAGATCTTTTATGATTGTGAAATCAGAAGACCTGGGCTTCAGACCCAAGTCAACCTTATGACCTTGGGTAAGTCATTTAAGGCCTTCCGAACTCAGGTTCTGCCTGCATTTACAAACAAGATACTCACATTTCGTTCTCCACTTAAGTGGTGACCACTGAGAATTTTTTAATTCATTCAGCTAAGCCAAAAGGAGATCGAATTAGCTGCTGGGAAACAGAGCAAATAAAACACAGTTCAGTACCATATTGTAACTCGTGGCCTGATAGGGTGAAAAAGGCAGGTAAGGAGGCCATTGTGATAGCAGGCAGCAGTGGCTGTGGTGTGCTTGGGAAGCAGGCACCATGGAAGCACATGATGCTTCAAAGATGGTACCTTGGTGGATAAACATGCATTTTTGAGATTTATCAGCAACCCTTAGGTGTCAGGTGTTGGGGGCACTGTGGTGAACTGGACAGGTAGGGCAGCCATCCTGGGGTCTGACAAGGGAGGCAGGCATTTATCTTGTCACCATTCGGTGAATGGGGAAATGTAGCTGGCATCTGGCCAAAGGATGCAGCACTGAGCGCATATGGGTAACAGGATTCAGCCTACTTCTGGGGGTTGGGGGAGGCTGCCTGAGGAAGAAACAGTTGAGGGAGATCTGCCAGTAAATAGGCATCCATAAGCTCAAGCAGATTAACCCCGCAGCTTCTTCTCTGTCACAGGGGAATAATAATAGCATGCACTCACAGTTATAATGCCCTAAGAGACAATCTATGTAAAGCATTTAATAGCCAGTAGTTGTATAGTAAGCACTCAGTATATGTTGTCTGTTGTGTGAATTTCCATTCATTCAGCAAATATTAAGTGACTATACTGTGTCTGCCAAGCTAAACTAGTTACTGGGAAATACTGTCCCAGTTCTTCAGGAATTTATAGTACACTGGATGAAATGAATACT